CCTCTAATACAAGACTTTCCCATCTCGGCCCTCACTGGCCGAGCTGCCTTTCTCCACAAACCTACAAGCGTCGGCCTACCCGGTTTATTCAACACTAGGGAAGACTCCCAAAGGGTATGTTCAGCCGTGGGAAGAAGCCGGGCCTGGACGTTGTTGGCACGTGAAGGTCGATGGTGCGACGGGGGCGGCTTCGTTCGTCCTCCAACGGAAGCGCTTCCGCGATCTCGACTTGGAAAGCGACGGCTTTACGGACCGCAAAGTCAAGGAGACTCGTGGAGCTGTGAAGCGCAAGCGATACGATTCAGGTTCAAAGCCCATGTTGTGACCCAGCTGCGCCTCCTCCAGGAAGACGCCGCAGACCTCTTCAAGGAGGAGCAGCTCACGCCTCTCCAGTACTTAGAGGACCGNCAAGTGGGCTCAGGACGAGGCCAATAAAGTCCAATCGGCAGCAGATGACGTGAAGAAGACCCTCCTTGCCAAACAGTAGCCAAAGCGGTGGTTTCCTGAGGAAGAGAAGAAGCTGTACAATATGTTCTTGGCGCGGAGGAGGAGGAAGCTGAAGGTGTCGACACGTGACCGTATCTCGTGCAAGAGAATCACCCTGAGGACCAACGGGCGGCGGCGTTCAGCGCGTCCTTCAGGTGGGCACGAAAATGGGCAAAGAGGCATAAGCTGTCCAAACGGCGCAGGAGCAACCTCAAGAACAAGTCTGTTGAAGAGCGCCTACCAAAGATCCAGCGCTTCCACCGGCGGTTTCGCAAGCTCCTGCAAGAGCCGGTACGGTACAGGGCACCCGAGGCATCGGACGTGTCGGCGATGTCGACGGTCGCGGAGGGAGAGTCCAGAGATCCCAAGTACGGTCAGTTCCAGCTCTGGGAGCGTTGGAATGTGGATCAAGTGCCTTTGCCATTCGTGAACGGGCTGATCAGCACGTGGGAGAAGACAGGCGCGTTGCGTGTAGCCGTCTCGCAGCCCTTTGCTGGCCTAGGGAAAAGGAAGTGCACCATGCAAGTCATCTTTGGTCCGGGTGAGAAGACTATGCGGATTTCGGTGATTTTCCGAGGCCAGGGGAAGCGGATTTCGCCGGTGGAGAAAGCCGCGTACCACAAGGACGTGGACGTGTTTTTCCAGGAGAATGCGTGGGCGGACCAAAAGTTCTGCATGGAGTGGGCCAAGAGGTCGTACCGCGAAGGCCTGATCCGCGGGCGGGGTGAGCTCCCCAAGGCGAGGTCCATTCTGATAATGGACAACTTGCACGCGCAGACCACGGACGAGTTCAAGGGGTATCTTGCGAAGCAGTGCAACACTATCGCCTGGCTTGGCCCTGCGGAGTGCACGGACGAGGTGCAGCCAGTTGATGCAGGAGCCGGACGATTTCTCAAGGTGGAAGTTGGTAACGAGATGGACAAGTGGCTCGATCAGTCGGACAACATCGAGAGGTGGGAAACCGCGTCGCTGACAGCATCTGACCGGCGCGTACTGATCACTCAATGGACGGGAGCGGCCATGGCAAAACTCAACAGCAATCAGGGGTACCGACACCGCCTTTTCGAAAAGTGCGGGATGGCGATGACCGTGGACGGCTCAGGCGATGATCGAATCACCTTGGAGGGTTTGGACCAGCCGTACACCTTCGCAAACGATGAAGACTCCAGCGAGAACGAAGGAGGTTCGGAGGACGGCAGCGATGGGCCCGAGGGGCGGGAGGAGGAGGGCGCCGGAAGGCGCGAGCCGGTCGTCGGGGATGAGCGCAACGGTGCCAACAGCGGGGAGGGAATGGAGGGCGCTGGATACAGCGATGAAGACGACGACAGCAAGTTTGATTGGCACTACATAGACTACAATTAATTCATTGTCCTTTTTGTTCATCTTTTCTTGTGCTGTTTGGGATATTGCTGATATTCTGTTTCCGCGTCACGTCTACGAACAAATGGTGTGTTCACTTCAGTTGAGTAACGGCGATGACACCCGTACGTTCCTTCTCGTGTTTCACGGTACCCTTCGTCGCAGACATGTCTCAATCCCAGACCGACGAGCTAGCTCTTTTGGACGAGGACGACAGCATTGACCCAGACGACCCGGAGAACGAGACGCAGGGAATGGAGATCCAGGCGGGCTTTCGCCTTCAAGAATCTACCCCCGCTGCTCTTGACAGATTGCTTTTGCAACGTGGAGTGCTTGTTCGGCTGGGCATGGGGTGGTTCGGTGGGTTGATCATTCAGCAATCTCCGCAGCGCCACCTGTACGACTAATGTGTGCAGCTGGAAGTAGACCACAGTACGCGCAATATGAAGCTGCCCTTAGACTGTTCGTGCGTAGAAGTAGATAGTCGAAAAGTAGCCGTTACGTAGGACGCAGCTGGGCCAACTTGAAGGGTATGTGCTGAGAGGTTTGGATGATAGTGCAGAGTCCCCGTGTTCTCTCGAGAATTGGGACCTCTCCTTGTTCTCCCTCTCTCCTCTCTCATGCGAGCTAATACACACAGTTAAACAGCAGCCCCAAGTCCGCCGGCCCTTAACAGGGCTAGGGCTCACGAACACGCTAGCGTTCGTCCTTCCGGGAGGATCCGCAAGACGGTGCGGGCTATGCCAAGCGAGAGACAGCGGGGTTCCAGCAGCCAGGGTACGCAACTCTGAACTGGACGCTTTCTGACTGGAACGGAGCAGTAACTGAACGAGTAGAGATGACAGAGGTGCAGGAGATGATGGGCATGCTGCCATCGCTACTGCAGGCCGAGTCGGAAGGGCAAGGCCAGGAGGGGTCGGCGGCGCTGCAAGAGGGCGCCGCGGGTGCGGCGGAATTGGGGGTTCCGCCGAGCAGCCACCGAGAGCTGTATCCTGCGGTGGTCGTCAGGGAGGGCGACACTGCTGGAGGAGAGAGCAGCAGTAGGCCGGGCGTGGAAGGCGCCCTGGTGCGGGATGTGGAGGTCCCTGCTGCAGGTGGGTTTGGTGCATTCCAAGACACCAACTCTCTTCGTAGTACGTTCGGCAGTGCTTGCGTACAGCAGTCTGCTGCCGCTGGAGACACTGGTGAGAGTGTCACAGCAACCGATCAATCCATTCAGGGGAGGTCGGGTGGAGAATGCGGCACGGCGGAAGGGTCGTGTCCACTGTTCTGCCTTGCTNAGGGATGTGGAGGTCCCCGCTGTAGGTGGGTTTGGTGCATTCCAAGACACCAACTCTCTTCATAGTACGTTCGGTAGTGCTTGCGTACGGCAGTCTGCTGCCGCTGGAGACACTGGTGAGAGTGTCACAGCAACCGATCAATCCATTCAGGGGAGGTCGGGTGGAGAATGCGGCACGGCGGAAGGGTCGTGTCCACTGTTCTGCCTTGCTGTAGTAGTGGGCGGGGCGCACAGAAGTCGCCGGAATTGATGGTGCAACAGAACGGACGGAGGGGCCGTGAAGTCGCGCAGTTTTGGCGCGCACTCCATCTGCGGTAAGGCGGTGGATCAACATGAAAGGCGTTAGAGTAATCGGCGCAACAGAACGGACGGAGGGGCCGTGAAGTCGCGCAGTTTTGGCGCGCATTCCATCTGCGGTAAGGCGGTGGAGCACCAGGACGGTAGAGAGACCGTTGGGCAGGATTGCCGGAGACACTCAACCATGGATCGACCGCGCGACGGCGCGGGGGGGGGTGGGCGCCGTACATGCTTGATGCTGGCGGTGTTTTGTTAAGTCGATCCAAGGCCGGCAGTAGAGGCCGGGTACGCCCTACCACGGTTGACACGCGCGACGGCGCGTCGGGGGGTGGGCGCCGATCACGCGGGAGCGGGCGGCGTTTTTTTACCACAGCACGGACGGAGGGGCCGTGGCTGCTTTGCCTCGTCGTCGGAACGGGGGGGGCAGCATTATAAGGCGCGCGGAGGTGGCGCGCAAACCCAGCACGGACGGAGGGGCCGTGGCTGTTCTGCCTCGTCATAGGAGCGGGGGGAGTAGCATATTAAGTCGCGCGGAGGTGGCGCGCAACCATCAGCCGGAGGTGGGTGGTGGAACGGGGCACAGCTAAGTGGGTGTCATCAAAGTCGCGTGGGGAGGTGCCGCGCGCATTTCATCAGCCGGGAACGAGCGGTGGAGACAAGAATGCGTCAGGATGGACGTGAGGAATTAAAGGCGTGCTTCGCCATCAAGATGTGTTGGTGGAGTAGTTGGAATAAGCTTGGATTTTGTTGTCTTGTTTTGTGTGGAGGTACCAGTTTGAGGTCGTGATGAAATCAAGCAACTTGTATTCGAGGAAATTCTGTTCACTGTTGCGTGTTTCTTTCCGCCGTCATTTGCGCGTTGTCTTGCACCCAAATCGTGGTTGTTCTGAATGTTTGTGTTCGTCGTTATGCCATTAGTGCATCCTTCGCCGGTGACGTTGTGTTGCTGGTGATGATGGCAAAGTGTCGGGGGGTAGAGACGTTCACGTTGGTAGAATTTGCCACCATCACTCATGTGTGGGGGCTACGCGGTTATATGTGACCCACGGCCTGAGTAGGAGGCGCAACAAGTGTTTTGTTTACCTGAGTTGTTGCAGAACAAGGGAGGGTGGAAACGGGCGTGTTTCTTTTGAGAATGTTACGCTTGAAGAGTACGCCCGGTCTTGGTATTATGCAACTTGACAGGTTGGTGTGTCGGGCAGGTATGCAGTTGTTAGTGGAAGTCGATTTTGTTTTCACGTACGGAAGCATGTTGGTTGTGTCTGTTTTGGGAAGCGACATCTAGGTGATGGCCATGTGCGTGTTCCTCTGGGCGCCGGTGTTGCGCAAGGGAGGGCACTAGGCTTAGGTTCCTGGTGTGCTTGTCTATAATGCAGACAGCGTAGATGCTTGGGGTTCGTAGTACAGCGTTACCAAGTTGTGGGGGGGCGTTTGTGTTTTGCGTAGTTGTGCTTGAAGGTTCAGTAGCAAGTTGATGTATCCTTGATTGAAGGAGAACTGAGGATTGATTTGGTAGTTTGCAGATGGTGGACCTTGTTTGAAGCAGGCTACATTCGGCAGGTTGTATATTTCTCAAAAGCGGGCATCCTTTGGAGAATCGAGTTTGATTGATTTTTCAGTCGGAAACAGGTCATGATTTTGAGTTCGTGTAGGATTGCAGATGGTTGAACCGAAGGTAGGGAGAACGTACCTGTTCGATGCAGTTTTCGTGTGGAATGCAGATAGACAGGGAGGGCGTTGCCTGTATGGGTATGACACCTGAAGAGTCAGTTGGTGCTGCACAGCAAGGAGTTCGTTCCATCATGTCGGAAGGATTTGTCAGAGGCGTTGCTCGAGGTAGTAGAGCGTTGCCTAGAATTTGTAATCCGAGCGTCTGGAGTGGTTTTATCTTTGTCTCCTTGCAGTACGGCCGTTGGAATCATTGGTGATATGGACGGCTATTGGATTTTGTTTGAGCCGTTGGAATCTTTCGTGATATGATCGGCGTGAGGCATTGAATTTCTGAGGGGTTTTGATCCGGTGGCCGGGTTTCCCCTTTACTTTTGGTTTGTCGTTGTGTTTCGGTTTTTCGGACGTATTTTCGACGCACTAGAGGTTCTTCACTGGCGTAAACAACCAGGGAGGAGGGTGTTCGTGCGTAGAAGTAGATAGTCGAAAGTAGCCGTTACGTAGGACGCAGCTGGGACAACTTGAAGGGTATGTGCTGAGAGGCTTTGGATGATAGTGCGGAGTCCCCGTGTTCTCTCGAGAATTGGGACCTCTCCTCGTTCTCCCTCTCTCCTCTCTCATGCGAGCTAATACGCACAGTTAAACAGCAGCCCCAAGTCCGCCGGCCCTTAACAGGGCTAGGGCTCACGAACAGATGCTACTGTAGTCGAACGGTGGGACGGACGTGCAGTTCAGTTTTGGGCACGCATACGGTGCTGCAGAGATTTTCAGGTGTATGTACCTCTTCGAGCTCTTGGATACCTTTTCTCGTTATGTGTGTGCGTGTTTAGATCCTCAGATGGCTCTAGCACTTTCGTGACCACGGGCTGAGAGTCTTTGCTACATTTTGACATTTAGCAACTGACATACGGTTTAATGTGAAGACAACAACAACAACAACAACAACAACAACCCGTGCTGCTGTGTTCTTATTTCATGACCTCCCTGCCTACTCTGTTGTGTTGGGTACCTTGATCTCGCTTTGCTGTTGCATTTGTTTTTTGTACGTCTGGCTGTCTGCCCATCTGCCGCCTCTCTGTCCTGTTTGCTCCGTTACTCCGATGCCCTGGTGCGTAGTGCCTGGTGCTGGTACGTCACCCTTTGTTTTTTTCTTTAGGCGGGTGTGGGCAGCGTCCTCCTATATTTTGTTTTTGTTTTTGATCGGTTTCCGAGGGCCCTTTTCTCGAACGGTCGGTACGATAAAAGTTGTTCTTCTTCATCATTTGTTTTCTTTTTCCGAGTGGTTTGAACCCTATTTTTTTGTTGTTTCCCCGCGGCGTCGTATGTGCCGATTTTTGAGACCACGGGCTCCCCATTTTTTGTGGACTATAGAGCTAATGTGAGAAACAACAACAACAACAAACCCGTTTCTGGTTAGGCTGTTTCTTACAGAACCGGATTCTTGATCTGAAAAATCGATTTTTTCGGCCGGACAATAATCCGGCTGGGAAAAACGTACGACCCTTCTTACAGGAACCGGATTTTAGTCAGCGGATTTTTTGCTGGACTGTCATGTATTTTTGAAATGCAGCGCGCGCGCACGCGCGGGTANGTTTCTGGTTAGGCTGTTTCTTACAGAACCGGATTCTTGATCTGAAAAATCGATTT